AATCTTTCGTATCTCCAAGCTCTTCACTGAGATATTTCCTAACAACAGAGAGCCAATTTTGCATCCCACGCTTAATGAAGATGCGACATCAAGTTTCACCTAGCGGACCGACTATTAATCGTTCCCCTGAGAGAGGGATACTTGGGAATGTGAGTGAATGCATCTAAACCACAGCGTGACGGTGCGTGCCCACTGTGGCCTCCTTGAGGAGGGTCAACAGCCCTTGTTTAGCTTCCACGGTAACCAATCAGATGACAATCCTTAGATTGGCTCCATCAGCTACACTGCAACAATTGAACAGTATCGTGAAGGAAGAACATGCCTCGTGATATCAGATGTGAAATGCTATTTGCTGCCACCCAGATTTTCATGCTGTGGTGGCTTGTGTGTTGCTGTGGTGCTGGAAGCTATGCCACCAGTATTTCAAGTACCAGCAGGGTCACGCGTGGTGGACAGGTTTCAACAGAGCTTCCAGATGAAGACAGAGTAGGAAGAAAAGCCTGGTGATCTAATTCTGAAAGTCAGCCAATGAAAACCCTATGGATCACAACAGAACATTGTCTGACAGTGCTGGAAGAGGAGCCTCTAGGTTGGAAGGCACTCAAATACACAGTGGCCGCAGCAATGGACTCAACAATTCCAAAAACTGTGAAGATGGTGCAGGACTGGCCAGCATTTTGTTCTGTTGTCCGTGGGGCCGTCATGAGGGCAAGGTGACTCAGTGACAACCCACAACAACAACAAATGTTATGCGAGGTGCATCTTCCATAGAGGGGTCCCGACATTAGTCAGTATCAGCGCCATTGGCTCAGGGGGCCCATTTTTAACAAGCCTGTCTACCTGTTTCTTGTTGTCATTTTTTTCTTCAACTGACTATGCAAAGGCATTCCACTGTGTGGATCATAACAAATTACGGATAACACTGATGTCTTAGGCTGGCTTCTCTACAGAAGCAAAACCAGTAAAGTGTCTATAAATATACAGAAACCAAACCAATCCCGTTGCCGTCGAGTTGATTCCGACTCACAGCGACCCTATAGGACAGAGTAGAACTGCCCCAACAGGGTTTCCAAGGAGCGGCTGGTGGGTCCAAACTGCTGACCTTTTGGTTAGCAGCCATAGCTCTTAACCACTGCACCACCAGGGCTCCATAAATATACATATATACATACGTACATACAGACATAGTGAGAGAGAGATTTATGTCAAGGAAATGGCTCACGTGGTTGTAGAGGCTGTAAAGTCCCAAGTCCATGGGTCAGGTTGGAGGCTTCTCCTGACTCACATAGCTGCAGGAGCTGGAGAACCCAAGATCGGCAGGTCAGAAAATAGGCCTCTGGCTCACAGGCTTTGGAGGCCGACAAATCCGAAGATTGGCAGGTAAGCTAGCATGCTGCTGGCTCACAGACTGTGGAGGTTGATAAATCCCGAAATTGGCAAGTAAGCTGCTAGCTCAAGTCCCAAGAACACTTCCTTTCAACTGACTGGCTATTCGTAGCAGATCCCATCACGGAGGTGATTACATCATTATATGACTCCCAAACTACATCATACTGAGAATCATGGCCTAGTCAAGTTGACACACAACCTTAACGATGACAATTCTGAAGAATGGGAATTCCACAACACTTAATTGTGCTCATGTGGAACCCGTACATAGACCAAGAGGTAGTCGTTCGAACAGAACAAGAGGATACTTTGTGGTTTAAAGTCAGGAAAGGTGTATGTCAGGGTTGTATCCTTTCACCATACTTACTCAATCTGTATCCTGAGCAAATAATCGGAGAAGCTGGACTATATGAAGAAGAACCGGGCATTTGCTCACTATCCCAGTTAAGAAGCTTGAGTACAGACAAGCAGCTGAAGGCTGTGGATAACAGTTAAAGAAAAGACAGTGGGAAGGAGAACTCAGTGAGGACCCAGGGCGTGGGCCTCCCGCCGGAACTGCACAGGCATCTCTGCAGATGATGCTTACACAGGCAGATGGGGGGATCGTACCCCCATCCCAGAAACGGAGGCTGAGTCTCGGAAACATCACTGGACCTGCCACCCAGCTAGAAACTGGCAAGCAGATAATCGAATTCATGGCTCCCAAATCAATAAATTATCTATGCTTACAGCTAGTGTTTTGATAAAAACTGCCTTCTGAAAGAGACACACTCTGTGGCCAAAGCCTTATAAACTGCAGCTAGAAGAGGAAAAGCAAGCACTTAACTCTATGTAAATAACTATTGTTTTAAAATGAGCTTCTTAGTAATATGAGAAAAAAGTTCCCATCGAGTTGACTCCAACTCGGAGCAACCCTATAGGACAGAGTAGAACTGCCCCACCGGGTTTTCAAGGAGCGGCTAGAGGGTTCAAACTGCTAATATTTTGGTTAGCAGACAAGACCTTGACCGCTTCACCCCGCGGTCCAGTAATAAGATAGAGATGCTGTATTTGTAAGCACCCGAAGACCCCGGCCCACCCTCATCCTACAGACATGTCTCAGCGGGCGTAAGCCAGTGTTTCTGCCTTCTAAGAGACAGAGACGGGGATAAACGGGAAAGCCACACGAGAAGGCAAACAAACACAGGGCTCCCACCAGGAAGAAACAGGGATCGCGTCCCTGGGCTGGAAACCCTGGGGGCGCAGTGCTTAAGAGCTACAGCTGCTAACCAAAAGGTCAGCAGTTCAAATCCACCAGGCACTCCTTGGAAACTCTATGGGGCAGTTCTACTCTGTCTACAGGGTCACTAGGAGTCGGAATCAACTTGACGGCAATGGGATTGGGTTTCCGTGTGCCAGGACAACACCTTTGTGGAAGTAGGCAGCCTATAGATTAGGTTTGGTGGGGGAAAAAAAAAATCCTAAAATCCCTAAAAACAATTCATTAGTCTCATTGAAGACCTGCATGATATATTTCTGGATTTGAAAACTGGTATGACATTTAGCTCATAAACCATAATTCTGTAAATTTGGGCAAAAGTCAATACATACATTAACATTTTTAGAGACACTTTCAATGTCTACCTTTGTTAACATGTAGTAGGCGCGCACACACACACACACACACACACACACACACACACACGTGATTACACAAAAGATAGGCTGTACTCTTTCCCTAAAAGATTTTTTTTCATCAAAGTGTTTTTTGAATGTAATTACTGAAGTTAATTTATAATCAGAAACGTATGTGAAATGCTTTCTGAGCTCCTAGTCCTGTAAGATCAACACAATCCGGCTTCTCCCTGTGGGTTCCCAGTAGATGATCAGACAGGGCTGCAAATCCCTGACCTCAGATGCCAAGCCCCCAGACCCAGAGGAGAGAGACGTGGCAGGGCGCAGAGTCATCACGTTTGAACCGCTCTTCTAGAACATGTGGATGTTTGCAGATTCACCTTCCACACTTACAAAACTAATTCCAAGCTTGACATCTGAAAAGTCAGTAACTGCGGCACCGTACACTGCCCGGGAAGATTTCCGTGACAGGTTGTACTGAACCTACCACAATATCCTTGCCAGTGTGAAGGGCAAGAAATCTAATTGCAAATCCCAATAACAAACACCTCCTCGGGTCAGGTGCAATATCTGCTGGAACACCTCATATTCCTCTTCCTGACTCCGTGTTTCACAAAGCGAGCTGGGCTGTGTGGTTTTTGCAGCTGTTACGGAGCGAACTGTGTCCTCCTGAAATAGGTGTTGTCAATCTTAACCCCTACACCTGTGGTTATAATCCCATTTAGGAACGGGTTGTCTTTGTTATCTTAATAATGTGGTACCAGTGTAGCGCATGTTTTAAGTCAATGTCTTTTGGGATATAAAAGGGCAGATGAAGCAAGCAGAGATGGGGGAACGGAGATGCCACACCACGCGAAGAACACCAAGGAACCCAAGAACAGAAGCTGAAAAGACAAGGACCTTCCCCCAGAGCCGAGAGAAAGCCTCCCCCCAGAGCCAACACCCTGAATTCAGACTTCCAGCCTCCTGAACTGTGAGGAAATAAGTTTCTGTTTGTTAAAACCACCCACTTGTGGTATTTCCGTTATAGCAGCACTAAGAATCTAAGACAGTGTCTCATGAAAAAGGCTTTACAGTAGCAAAAAATCCCCAGTGCTCAGCCTCACAAGCCTGGGATGAAAGACTGACTGGAGAGGTCTGAGGAAGGGGGCTCCCCCCGCAAAACACTCACCTGTGTCTCTCTGCCACCCTCTCTCCGTGGTGCTCAGCACTGTAGTGGGGGGCATGTGGGGAAAGACCAGCGGCTGGACATTCCCAGACATTCTCAGAGATGAACAGGGAGAGGACACGGGCCTTTGAAAACTGCTTGCAGGGGTTTGAGTTTTTTTCTGAGGGTCAAAGTGTTAAAAGAAATATGACTGGCTACGGCGGAAGAAAAGCAAAGCCATATGTTGTCTTTTCTCCTCTCTGAATTGTCACCAACTCACTCTGACGAGGGCTCCACATGATTCTCAGTCTTGAGAGTCTCAGTTCATTCTGAGCGTGGCCCAGCATGGAGGCCTTCTTCCAGTTTCCCAAATAACACACAGGGACTAGAGTGAAGCAGTCTGCAGTTGTTGGCACATGTCAGAATTCAGATCTGGGAAACCCCTGGGGCACTTCACCCCATGTGTGAATAGTTAATTCAAGAAGCCTCTAGGCTACTCTGACCATCTAGTATCTCCTCTATACATTCATGAGCAGAGAATCCCACGTGATTCACACCATCGAATATGAACACAGCATGCAGTGTCTTGGCATGCCGTGTTTACAGAGCATTTACTGTTTGCAAAGCACCTCGTGTGAGAATCTAACGTTTTCAGAATATCCAGTGTGTTAAGAGCACCTACTGTGTGCAGAACACCTAGTAGGTGTAGAGCATCCAGTGTGTACATGTGCTGTGTTTGCAGAGCACCTAGTGTGTGCAGAGCACTTACTGGTTGCAGAACACCTAGTGTGTGCTCACTCTGGAATCACAGCTCCACACTGTGCTGGGGAGTGAGGAGGAAGCTACTCACCACATTACAGCCTGCGCAGTCCGGTCCATTCTCGCAAGTCCTGCGGCGAGCTTGAATGCCACCCCCACACTGGGCTGTGCACCGTTCCCAAGGACCCCAGCCTGTCCAGAACACGTGTGGGGGGCAGAGCAAATGTTCATTGCAGTATCTGTGATGAGGAAACAGAAACTGCTTAGTGCAACGTGAGGCCACCGGCCTTCCCACTCCGCTGTTTCACAGATGCTGAACACATGGTCATGCTCCATGTGGGGGCTTTGTGTTCCGAGTGGCGGCACAGGAGAGGAGGCAGATGTGGCTTTGGCCATGCGCGTGTACAAGGACAGTGGGATGCATGGAAGGCAATGAGGAAAATGCGGAACTCACAATGCAGGATGGATCTTCCTGTGCAGCCAATAAAGGAGAAACAAATAAAACAGAACCCTTCAATAGACACCCGGAAATGAGAACATACAGAAAAACATTCCTACAGAGCACGGGTCTTGTAAACATGTACATTAACAGACCAAGTGGGCTATAGATACACACCCAGCAAGGCATTGTTTGGAATTCATTTCTCTTCCTTGAATCAAATATGTCCTGCAATTCCCTTAGTATAAGTTAAAGAAAAGTTACAGCATGATTTTAGCGTGGAGCACTTAGCTCTATAGTGCTTCAGTTATTGCGTGGTTACTCTTATTGGCGGGCTCTTAGAATGCTGTCAAAAACCTTAATTTAAAAGACCATAAGTTAAGCAAAAAGCTAATTTCCCATTTACAAACATAAGTCCTATTTCTTAGAGATTAAACATACTTTCGTACCTCTACACAGGTAACCCAGATTGCCAATTTTTAGCCAAATATCCAGTGTTTCCTTGGCCGTATGATTAGTGGAATTTCTTTTCAGTATTTAATAACACAAATGAAACGAGGGAGAAAACAAAACAATAACAACAAGGAGAAAACAGCCTGGTATTCTACTGCCTGCAGCCCATAGCGGGTGAGGGCTCACCCGAAAAGAAGTCACATTTAGGGGGACACCTTTGCCGATTGAGGGAACAATTTAGATCCAACAGTCTCTCTACTAAGGACTAACTTGGGAAGGAAAGACTTTTTCTCATGTCTCAGGCCGTCCTTGTTCAGGAAGAAGAGGCAGAGGCGTCCAGCTGCTGAGCCGAATCCGTCCCTCTAATGCCATCATGACCAACCCAAGCTCAATTCTCAGTGCACAGACGAGGACAATTGCAAAGAGCTCTTTCCAGTCGCCCAGGAATCCATAATCTGAGACGGACACAAGGCCAGGGCTGCAGGACAGAAAACATACCTGGCCACACAGTGTTCCATTACACTGCACCTCACATGAGCCGAGGAAATGCGTTTCTGGAGGAGAAAATAAGGGCAAACAGTACCCGAAACCAGTACAAGTAATCTGGGGGTGTAGTTTCCTGACAAGGAGCCCTGGTGGCACAGTGGTTAAGCGCTCGGCTGTTAAGCGAAAAGTCAGCTGTTAGAAACCACCAGCTGCTCTATGGGGGAAAGATGTGGCAGTCTGCTTCCATAAAGATTTAAAAAAACCATTGCTGTTGAGTTGATTCTGACTCATAGTGACCCTATAGGACAGAGTAGAACTGTCCCATAGGGTCTCCAAGGAGTGGCTGGTGAATTTGAACTGCCGACCTTTTGCTTACCAGCTGAGCTCTTAACCACTGCACCACCAGGGCTCTAGCCTTGGAAATCCTATGGGGCAATTCTACTGTCCTACAGGGTTGTTCTGAGTCACAATTCACTCGATGGCCGTAGGTGGGGTGGAGTTTCCTGACAACAATCGCTGATAAGAGTCATCTGTTTTTCCATCAACCCAGGAAAACCTGGAGAAAGGAGAGGCTTCAGGAGCAGGCACAAGGGCGCAACGTAAAAGGATGCCAAGCTGAAGGGCGTCAATGCAGCAGGGCATCTGGAGTGTCAGGGGGCATTTTGGAAAAGGATGGCGGGAAGAAATGAGAAAAGTGAAGCAAGAAAGAGGATTCAGGAGAAAAGCATATAGAAGGTGACACGATGTGGGAGGATGTCTTTATGGAACAGACTGGAAGAGCCTGAACTTTAGAAGGTCCCACAGAGCTCCAGGGACACAACAGCCCCGTCAGAGTTAGATCGTGAAGACCCCCCTCCACTGGGGGTTGGTGGGTCATCTTGCTGGTGGCCCAGAGCCCACTGAGACTGAAGCAGCCTTCTTGTTTCAGGGAGCAGCTGAGTCCAGAGACAGGTGAGGCCACCAGCAGGAGGAACTGATGAGCCCAAGCCCGACCAGAGGACTTTCCACTGGTGAAAAGGAGTTTTGCCCCAGGATGGAATATCCCCGAAGGCTCACCTAGACTAGATGGAGATGATTCATAAGATGGGATTTTAGACTCGGGGCTGATTTAGAACTTTCTGAGATTATGTAATGGGGTGAATGTGTTTTGCGTATCGGAAGGACATGGATTTTGGGGGCCAACGGGTGGAATGTTATGGATTGAACTGTGTTCCTCAAAAATATGTGCTGGAAATTCTAACTCCTATACCTGTGAAGTCATAGGGTCACTATGAGATAGAATCTAATTGAGGGCAATGGTTTCTGTTTTTCTTTTTTTTTAATACTTGTGGATGTAACCCCATTTGGGAGTGGGTTTTCTTTGTTATGTTAATGAGGCTGCATGAGGGTAGGGTAGGTGTGTCTTAACTAATCACCTTTGAGATACACACAGAGCAGATTAAGCACAGAGAGGGAGCACAAATGGATGGAAGATAAATGCCACATGAAGATCTCCAAGGAACAGAAGCTAAAAAGAGACAAGAACTTTCCCCCAGCACTGACAGCGAGAGCCTTCCCCTGGAGCTGGAGTCCCGAATTCAGACTTCTAGGCTCCTCAACTATGGGAAAGGAGCCCTGGTGGTGCAATTGTTAAGCGTTCGGCTGCTAACCAAAAGGTTGGCATTTCAAACCCACCAGCATCTCTGCAGTATGAAAGACTTGGCAATCTGCTCCCTTAAAGACTGTTGTTATTGTTGTTACATGCCGTCGAGTTGGTTCCGACTCAGAGTGACCCTATGTACAACGGAATGAAACACTGCCTGGTCCTGTGCCATGCCCACAATCGTTGTTGTGCTTGAGCCCATTTTTGCAGCCACTGTGTCAATCCATCTCCTTGAGGGTCTTCTTCTTCTTCGCCAACAGCACAATTCGAAGGCTTCAATTCTTCTTTGGTCTTCCTTATTCATTGTCCAGCTTTTGCATACATATGAGGCAACTGAAAACACCATGGCTTGGGTCAGGTACAACTTAGTCTTCGAGGTGACATCTTTGCGTTTCAAAACTTTAAAGAGGTCTTTTGCAGCAGATTTGCCCAATGCAACGCGTCATTTGATTTCCTGACTGCTGCTTCCATGGATGTTGATTGTGGATCCAGGTAAAATGAAATCCTTGACAACTTCAATCTTTTCTCCATTTATCACGATGTTGCTTATTGGTCCAGTTGTGAGGATTTTTGT